AAGTTGGCAAGCCACTATCAATTGACAAGATCAGAAACTATCTAATAGATCTAATAGCTATCTAATAGCTCCCTCTCTTCTCATGTGTATATGGATGTCTCTTTCTTCATCATACTTCTTGAAAGAAGTATGTCTTCTATGAAAGCAATTCTGAGAACTTCGTGTGAAGATAACAGAAGTCTTGCCTCTTTGAGCAATTTTTCTAGCTTCTTGACGGGCATTTCTTGGTCTCTATAAACCAGGTCTCCATCACAGTTAAGACATACCTCTTTTTTAATCTTAGGGATTGGGTATATTGATACAAAAAGAGGCATCCTTTAGTTTTTAATAACTGGTGGGTAACCAGTTCAGCTACTGACAGAGAAGTGTGTTACTGCACTTGGGGTGAAAAAGAAAAATTTCCAAAGATTCTTCAGAATTAGCTCTAGTATTAAGTTTAGATGTAACATTGGTTTCTATATATTGACTGTACTTGTGTAAGTTTCTTGGTACATCCTGATGCTATGCTTATCAACTGAGATATAATTGAATGGTGAAAATTAACATCTTAGCTCACTTTTAGTAATTCATTTCATAAGTAACATAAATTAATTGTCCATACTAAAGAGTTTGGACAGAACTCAGCAGCACTTTTTCGTGCGGCTGCTGATAAAAACAGGATTGCCAACATGATCGCCAACGTCCGATAACAGATATGGCACAAGAAGAAGAAGATACTAAAGAGCATTGTGTCCCTGTTCAGTCACTGGTTTTTATTTACCCATCTTTAGAATATCTTGTGTTAATCATCCTGCTTACTTAAAACAAACCTATGTCTGCTGGACAAAGCTGGATATGAATTTCACTAGAAAATATTAGCAAGAATTCAGAACATGTTAAAACTCAGTATGTTTAAAAGAATAAAATTGTCACTGGTAATTTCTTGTTCTCTTGGCATGGTATGGTTACATGTTTCACAGTATAGTATTCACTTAAGCTTTCCTTTAATGATGTTGCCTTGATTTGTAGGCAGGTAGGTTAGCCAGCTATCATAAATAATAAAGATAATAAAGATAATAAACCCTGTTTTATGCTTCACAGAAAGGTTGTTTATTGAATACTGCATTCAGAAGGATGTCATATGACTCTCTTATCTGCAAAGCTGAGTCAGCAAGGGATGGCAAGGAAAGGGGACTGTCCAAGTCTCAAATATAACCTTGCATTACAGTTTAAAGACATGATCTTTAGACATGAACTTCAAGGCTTCCTAGAACATCTGCTTCCATTATTAGATCAGGGAGAAATTATGACATGTTACCCTGACTATTTGTAGTAACATTTCATGGACTTGACAATAGCTAATGAGTCTGTTTGAGGCAGAAGAATTGAAAATGGCTCCAAATATATTTTTTACCTCGTGATTTTTCCTATGTGGCTTTGATTAGCTGTGGGGAAAAAAATAACTTGCTGATCAAATAAGATGGGCTTAGCTACGTTGATTTTGATTTATGTTCCTTTCTTTTAAAGCAATTACCTCGTATATTATTGATGGGTTTTAAAGGTGTGTGTTTACATTTTGTGCAAAATATGTGAGACTGGCCAGCATTTCTTCATTGGCTGTATATATATACTTAGGTCTGTCTCAAAGGTTTAGGATAGATGCCAATTTCTTTGCTGGAAACAATGGGGAAATCATTACTCCCAGAAAGTCATAATTCTTATATATGTTCTGTAATCATGGTTGTTTCAATACAAATCTGTAATTTTTAAAAAAATGGTTCTGTTACTCATTTTACCAAATGTAAAGAATTAAATGATATCCTTGAACATCTAAATACATTCCAGTGCATATGCACTATCGTTTGGAACCTAGTTGCTTGATTCTCAGTAAAACTGTGTTTTAAATATATCACTTAGCATTTAAGTGAACTTTTGAACCACTTTTTCTTAATGCTTTTCAGAAATTACACCTAACGTTTAATCTCTTTTTTATACAGTGCTCATGTGTCACAAGTCAACAACATCCCTGCTACTGGAGAGTAAGTAATTCTTTCTCCTTTTTCATTCTGTTCTTTAGTTCTTGTTTTTCCGAATTAAATATCTTGTGATTTGTGTGTGCATGTGGCAAATGTACCACATCCTTCATAGCAGTAGTGGTAGACATAATAGAAGATAAGATTATGATTGTGTAGCTTGAGTGTTTCAATCTTTTTGTGTACAGCAACCTAATGAAGGAAAGATATCTTGGGTATCTGTTAGTGAGTTCCCAACTGATTCTTGAACAGGGTGCTGCAATGATTTTCCTAAAAAATGCTAGATCATGTGGATGTTGTAATTAAGTGTGGTATCCTGCCTGTAGGATAATATAGACCTAAACCTATACCATTCATTTAGTGACCGCTCAAAATTACAACAGCACTGAAAAAAGTGATTTAGGACCATTTTTCACACTTACGATTGCTGTGACACCCCATGGTCATGTGATCAGAATTTGGACGCTTGGCAACTGGTATGTATTTATGACGGTTGCAGTATCCCAGGGTCATGTGATCACCTCTTGCGTCCATCTGACAACAGAGTCAATGGGGAAGCCAGATTCACTTCACAACCATGTTATTAACTTAACAACTGTAGTGGTTCACTTAATAATTGTGATAAGAAAGGTCATAAAGTAAGGCAGAACTCATATAACAACTGTCTTGCTTAGGAAATTTGGGGCTCAATTGTGGTCGTAACTTGAGGACTACCTGTGCCCAGTTTGACAGTTACTTGACTTCTTAAGGAAGAGTGTGTTTTAAGATTACTTCGAGCCAATTTGACCTGATCTTGTTTCAAGCCAATTAACAGATTTTGTCTCATATTTATTGTACACTCAAGATTTTTTCCACTCAGGTAAGGCCCAGTCCCAGAAAGATTGCATGTCAGTGTTCAAACTGCTTTCAATTGCATCTCTTAAAAGAATCCACCCTCCTCCCAAAAGACCAAAAACAATTTTCTTTTTTTTCCTGGACTTTTTTCCTCTTTAAGTATTCAAAAACTCAAGGAACCCCTTTTATCCTTAGAAACAAAAACAGAGACACTGTCCCCACCTTCCAAAAACCCTCAACAGAAGACTTCTCTCTTTTCCACTTGTTGGTCTGATACAGTATTTTTTAAAAAAAGCAAATACTACAAGATATTTTTTTTTATCAGTAGAGGGAGCTACATATTAAAAAAAGACATGGTAGGTAAAGAAGAAAAAGGTAGATTATTTTGATGAAGGCAGAGAATTACAGTAGCAACTATAAAAATAGCATTAATAAAGAAAATAAGTGAGCCACAGAAATTTCCTATATAAAGCACCGAAAGTCAGAAGATTAGGCTGCATGATTCCCTGAACTGAAGATTGGATTCAAAAGAGCTAACTTTGTTCTCCACTTAGCCATACATTTCTCTGGATGAACTTGAGACAGTGTCTCTTTTTCCAACTTAATCCTACACAAATAAACATGGGACTCCCCTGCCCTGTGCCTCACAGAAAAAATGGCTACAAATAAAGTTTATTGATCAGGTCTGTGCACTCTTCAAAAGTGATCCATATCATGGATCTCACACAACTGTTCACTCAAAGAAAGAGAAAGAGGACAGGTCTAATAAAAAAAAAAAACTGGTGAGGGGGAACGGTAGTATCTCAGGTGTCTGAAAAACATACTTTATTGTGTAAATTCTTTGTCAAGGACACAGCAAAACAAAAGACATTATAAGCAGCATCCAGTTTTGAATTGGGGACATATCTCTATGGAACAGATCTCATATCTCTAGATATTTTTTTTCTCCTTTATGTTTCGATTTATTGTGGAGTTTTTTTCCTGTCCTCTTTTTTTCCATCTATTTTTTTTAATCAAACATATTTATCCTATCCTAATCAATCGAAGTAGAAAATGCTAGCAAACCTATTTGGATAAATAACCCTTTTAATCTCTTAACATTAAGAGATATAAAAATACAAAAATATTTTTTATGGGACAAATGACTTAATAAATCTAACCTAGCAAAATAATAAATTCCCCAGGAAAATAAATGCTGCTGCTTTATGGAATCCTTTCATTCAAGCTAGGACAACCCTTAAAGCAGAAGTCTCTTTCTTTCCGTTTTTACGTAGAAGCCTGAAAAAAGTTGGTCTCTTTTAATGAATAGTAGAACTTAATATAGAACAAGTCATATTTGAAACACTTCTTGCAAATCATTTTTGAGGCAAACACTTATAAATGTATAAAAATATTGAAAGGTTCACATTGGGAATTCATTATCATTTTTTTTAAAAAATAATACCTATACTTGTGTATATGTATGTGTGTGTAATTTATATTGGTTTGACAGATTCTTAGAAAAGACTATCCGGACAGCTGTTGAACAACATCTTTTTGATGTTCATGGCTCTAGTGGTCAAAGTTCTGAAGACTCTGAATCTGGAACCTCATTAACATCTTCTGGTGTATCTACCGGGCAGCGCAGACGACACCATAAAGAACAAGATGAAGGCCGAAAAACCAGAGATAGGTATGCTTTTTTCTTCTCTTTTCTTCTTCTTCTATGAGACAGTTTTGGAGCTCTCTCATAGCAATTGTCAGATAATTCCAAAAAGCTGGTTCTGCCCCCCCCCAGGTTGTCAAGAAGCCTGATGCATTCCAGAGCTAATATTCTATGTATTCAAATTATTATCACAATTAGCTGAGTTTTGCTGAAGTTCTCCAGTGCAGGATACTGTTGGCAAACATTTGTCACAGATGTGAATTCCTAGTTTTATTGTTAAGATAAAATTGCCTAATTATTTCAGAACATGTTGGTTCAACAAATATCTATCCCTAGCTTAGTGATCAAGTCACATCACCAGAGAAATAAATGAGGATGCATAAAGGAAGAATATATGTTTGCAAAGCAGAACCCATATTCATCTTGTTATGTGCTTTCTTAAAATCCTCCAGAGTGTTTAAAAGTTATACATACATTCATGTTTAGAGATACAAACCCCATTCACAATTATGCAGAGCACAGAAAAGGAGTAAAAAAAACCAGAAAGCCCCCCAAAAATTAAATGTGTGAGTTAAAAAAAGAAAAGGGCAGAGAATTAAAATAACACCAATTAACTACATTTCTGTATGTTTTACCTTAGTCAAGTGCAATTTGCAAATCAACTCATTTCTACGAGGATTGAACAATTCATCTCGAAACAGTAGCATTCTAGCAGCAGAATAAGATTTTGACAGTCTTATTCTTTTATCCTTCAAAATCTTTTGCAAATCTGAGCCCAGAACAAGCTGAACCTAGCATCACAGTGATATGCTAAGATTAGAAAGAGATACCTAGTTTTAAATGCCAGAGGTCTGCAGAAGATTCTTTGATCCTACCTAACAGTATCATTACATGGCATAGATTTATGAAACACAAAATACAAATAGGCTGTGAGATTTTCATAAATGGATCCTTGATAAACCTTCTTTACTTCCATCAACAGCATTGTAAGATTGCATTAAACCATGATTTCAGCATCATTTTTCTGAACACCGTTGATTTTTGGCTAGTACACAGTGTTAAATGTTAATTCATAAATCACAGTTAACGTTACTGAGGCTGCCAAAATGTGCACATAGGAAAGAAGAAAAAATGCATAATGAAAATATTGCAGTATTTTAGTTTAAAATATGGGACTCTAATTTAGAGTGGATCCACACAGTTCTAACTGTAAGCCATAAGCAGTGGATTGCAGACTTCAGTAGCTGATTTTCCGCATCATTGTAAGCCAGTTTATAACTAGACTATAAGTGAAATCTGTGACCCAGAAGTTAGTATATCTGGTCAATGGTGGAATTACATCATTTTCTTCTCTGTTGCCTTCTATTCCTAGATAATTGTGGAAAGAGGGGTTGGAATCATCATAGTTCTCCTCACTTTTTGATTTTTTTAAAAAAGATTTGACAGAAAGTGAACATTCTGCAGAATGTCTATGTTTTATGTCAGTTTTTCAATCTAAATGAATAAACTTCTGTGTGTGTGTGTGTGTGTGTGTGTGTGTGTGTATGAAGCTTTATATCTTGTGAAATAACTGAGAATCATACTTTTAAAAGTTACTCAAACTTTTAACTGACTACTTGAGTAGCAGGTGCTTTTTTTAAAAAAAATTAAAAACAAACAATTACAACCAAGAAATTCCAGATAGTATCCCATCCAGCATTGTTCAGTCTGCTTCAGTTCAATTACATTGCTGCATCACTTGGCTTTATGCTAGATTAGATAGGGGATAGGTAATTAAGCTTCTATGATACTCCTCCCCAGTGAACTTTAATGTTTAAACTTTTTAAACCAATAAATAAAAAGCTTATACATCATAGAACAAAGTGCTAGGCTCTAACCGCATATCAACTTTTGGTATATGCCAGAATTTCTCAACCTTGGCCACTTTAAGATGGGTGAACTTCAACTCCCAGAATTCCCCAACCACCAAGGCTTAATCCTAAAGCTGCCAAGTTGGAAAACATTGCATTATGCCCGTTACTAGGTGACTAGACGATCTGGCAGAGAATAGTCTTGACAGTTTGGTATTTGTGAACAGGCACGTTTCACCCATGATAGGGATTTTGTGAAGGTTCAAAATTCCAGATCTGTCCATTGGACCCCTTGTTCTGCACTAGAGATAGACTCTGCAGATTCTTTGAAGAAAATGCCAGGAGATATTAGGCTATAAGACATCTGAGGAAGTGTAATTGGGTTGCTTGGGTTGCCTTTATGAGTAACTGGAAATGATCTGGAACTCTGCCATCTTTTCCCCCTCTTCCTATATAGGGAGGTCATCAATAAAGAAAATATTCCTTCTGGCTTCAGTAGCATTGAAGAGTGTATATTAAATGCTCAGGAAGTGGAAAAATGCCACGAGAACAGTTCTGGTTACATTGGTGAAAGAAGTAAACCAAAACGTCAGAAATCCAGCACCAAATTATCTGAGCTTAACGACAACCAAGAGAGTTCTTTGGTAAGCAAAATTATGAAAGTCAAGCTTTCAAATGTCATATTGTGACTTAGTATGACCCATGGACAGCCAGCTCATATTTCGTCTAAATTTAAAGTGGTCTTGATGATTATTCTTGCCGAATAGCTCTGTAACATTTCCTCAACTATTTGAGGAAATGGCCCCAGAGTCTGAAGTTTGCAAGTAACAACTGCATTCAGTGGGCAAGTCAGAAGTAAGTTTAAATAATAAAGAATTTGCCCATTGTGTTATTCAGTAACCCAGAATTTTCTGTCAAAAATTAAGAAAGTCATCAACAGTTCCTTCACAGCAAAAGATGAGTCTCTACAGTGATATACATTTATGTATTTATTTTTGAGATATTTGTACTTTCTTTCATATGCAAGACTCTACAGGCATATAACAGGAGAGGAAAAAAGAAAACCATGAAAATTATAAAACTCCTAGACCTTGGTTTAATAACTATAATCATAATAGTAAAACAGGTGGGTCACCTGCGATCTTACTATGGGCAAAGATCCACTGAAATAAGATCTTCAGGTCCAAAACAAAAGAATGGGTAGGGGTAAATACTTCTATGCACAGAAATTTTCCAAATGTGGGACTATTACAGGGTACGCCACCTACCTCACAGTCTCTGAAGCTCATATTGGAGTAGGACTTTCAACAGGCCCTCTCTAGATATTTGCAATAGATGGACAGGATACTACTTGACAAAGCAGTCCTTGATATACCTTGGTGCCACACGTTATAAGATGACAAATAGAATTTTAAATTGGGCCAGATGCTAACCTTGACAAAAATCATTGTCATTTCACCACGGCACAATGCAACCAGTCGTAAATGTGAGCCGGTTGCTAAGCATCTGAAGCACCACCATGGAGGGGGGCTGACATCACTTTGAGGGGTGGTCATTAGTAGCTTTTTAAAAGTCCGTTGTAAGTTTGAACAGTCGGATGATCAGTCATAAGTGGAGGACTATGTATACTATAATGAACCAGTGAAAACAGTGGCAGCACATCCATGTCATTGTTTGTTTTCAGCTTAACACAGTGTGAAACCAGCTATTTTAGTTTCACATCATAGTTTTATTTATTTACAGATATGTGTGTGCATGCATGCATACAATTATATATATAGGCTATCCATTTTCCCACAAAGGTTGTTTCCAATCTTAAAAAACAGCCAGGCAATAAAGTAATAATCCAACTAAATGAATCTTTTCCAAGGTAATATTTGTGTCAAAGCACTCAAATGCCCTTTGGAACAAATCGTTTTGAAGGCAGGGAGGTCGAGGTCTTACTTCTCCCAGAAGGAAGAATGTTCCAAAGAACATTACGGCTGTGCACTGTACCTGAACTAGACTTGCTCAACGTATCAAGGATGAAACCAACCATTTTCATAGGAAACTCAAGCCTACCAATGCATACAGGTAGTCCTCAACTTACAACAGTTTATTTAGTGACCGAAGTTACAATGGCACTGGAAAAAATGACTTATGACCATTTTTCACACGACCATGCAGCATCTTCACGGTCATGTGATCAAAATTCAGACACTTGGCAACTAATTCATATTTACGACAATTGCATGTCCCGGGGTCATGTGATCACCTTTTGTGACTTTCTGACAAGCAGAGTCAATGGGGAAGCCAGATTCACTTAACCACGTTACTAACTTAACAACTGCAGTGATTCATTTAGCAACTGTCTCCCTTAGCAACAGATTTTTTGGGGCTCAATTGTAAGTCAAGGACTACCTGTGTTGGGGTGAGCCCTTGGAAAAGAAACCCTTGAGATAACAGAGGTATTTTAGAGAGGGCTTATAATATTGCAGGTTTGGAATTTTTCTATGGATTTCCACTAATTCTAATTCCTCAGATTTTCCTAGGTTGTAGAAATCCCTTCCGTGGAACTATCATTCATGATCACCCATTGCACAGCAGTGTGATAATCCACCATCTCTGAGTCAGTAGTTCTTCGTAGTTCCTTTCTATTTCACTGCCTATATCATAAATAGCATTTTTTAGTATGGATGGAACACAACTGTGGTGTGCGTTGGTGCGCTGACAGTTGAAATCCCAATTACATTTAGAGGTTTTGAGAGGTGATATTTAAAATGATAATTCTTAACAATTGTCTTAATGTTTGACAGGCGATGGAAACTTTTGGTTCCTTGAGACATGTAGATGGAAGAGGACCAGATGAAATGGAGGTGTTTTCTGAAGAAAGGTGACTTGCTTAGAATTTATTCTGTCTTAAAATTAAAGTTTTTTTAAAATGTCAGTTAAGGTCTATACTAGAGAATCCAATTATACTTTGAAACCAGTTTCATTACATAGAGAAAAAAAAGCTAATTTTGATTCTGTATGCCTGCGTATGTCCTCCTTTGAAAATGCTGCTAGTTTTCAGAAAAAGATGTTTTAACTTTATAATGAATGCTTTATTTTATGTATTCATATTGTATTTCACGTCTGTTAATAGTAGATTGATCTCTTGGCTTTTCCATGCAAGTCTCAAAGAAGGAACTATAAAGCATGATTTGAAATTTTAAGTTTTATTTTCACCCACTTTTTTTAAAAAAAAATTATGATTATAAAAAAATGGTACGTTGCTTGTTGCTTCCTTTATGACATGCTCCTTAATATTTCTTTCTTGTTTTTTGTAGCAAAGATGGCAAAAATGAGGATGATTTGTTAATGCACAATCAGGTTTGTGTCCATTTGTACCATTTGCAAAATAATAACGTATTACTTTCACTTCATTATTAATGTTGTTACTCTGCTTTTGTTATTTATAACATTAATAATGAAAGAATGTGGAATCTAATTAGAGCTACCTTTGTTAGAAACATTCAGATCTCATAGGGCTTTGATTTTCAGATTGAGTTTATAGATTTCCAAGCACACATGATTCTGAACTTTAATTTTGATACTAATTAAAATCGTAAGTGGATATCTTTCATATATATATATTAAATGAATTTTAATTCATCAAAATTAAATATTTGATTATTTTTGATGTTTTAAAAAAAATGATTTTATTTTAGTACAGTAAGAAGCTTCCTTGAAAAATATTCTAAGTAGCATTTAAGAAGACCATTGATCTAGACGTGGTCATGAATCAGTGCAACTGAACCAGTTTAGCTGGTTGTACTTGGAAATCAGAGAACAGATTTCTGAAGGGCATCTAAGGCCTTGGCCAAATCTTCTTGAGTCCCCTGATCTTCTAGTCATATTTCTACTCCAGCTGTGGAAGTAAAATTATACAGTTAAATTCCTGCTGGAAATGGGAGGCTTAAGTTTAAGAAAAGATTGCTCAGAGTCTCTTACTTGGTTCTTGGCAGAAAGAGATTTAAATTAGAGAACTTCATCATTCATAAAGAGATTAAATTGTTCTGCAACTGTTATGCTAGGAAACTAGCACCCTGGTTTATTAGTAAGTTTTATACCTACTCAGGAAGGGCATGTTTGCTCCCAGCATCATGAAAACAGCCTGTGTTCATTGCTTTGATCTGATGAAATAACTGTTCCCTAACAAGCGTGGTGGCTTATGAGGTTAGACAGCTGGACTGACAATCAGCAGCCTGGCATTTGGGACCCATTGCTGCTATGGGGCGGAGTGAGGTCTCATCTCATGCTCCAGTTTCCACCGATCCAACAGTTCGAAAGCAGGCAACCATATGTAGATGCAGGAATCCTCAACCCCTGGGCTATGGCCTACTAGAGGGTTGCAGCCCATTTAGAACCAGGCCATGCAAGCAGTGGGTGAGCGCACAGCTCCACTTGCATTAGCGGCAAGCACTTGGGCAAATGAAGCTGCGCCTGCACACCTACCACTCACATGGAACCATCCCCTACCTCTCTCCGCTGGATTGCCAAACCGGAAAGGTTGGGACCACTGGATTAATGGGTACTACTTTGGTGGGCAACATCACAGAGGTGTGGAAGGAGCCCCCACCTGGGCGTCCCCCAGGCAACCATGATGTTACCTGCAAATCCTTTCACTATGGTGCTTCCAACACCGGAAGTATTAGTATTAATACTGTTCACTTATTTTTGACCTTTTCAATACAATTTTTCTCTAATCTTGTTGGATATTTTTCTCTTGCCTCAATAATGTAGCTTATGAATTGAATTTTATTCCTTCCCTTTGGGACTGAGAGGTTAAGAGAGGGCAGATCCATATGTAGAATGACAGTTTCCTGTCAATTCTGTTTTCCTTTTCTTTCATGATCATTCCTTTCTTTATAGAAATTACCTTTAGCGTATTATTTTCTCAGAAGCAAAGAGAATCTGGATGACTAGAGATAGAGATGCTTCAACATCTTATTATCTTTTTTCAAGGAAGCTGTTCGTTTAATCTAAGACAGATGAAACAAGAAATAGTGCTGGAAATAACAAATCGGTTTGGCTGTGCCAACATAAAGATTCTCTGTATTTATCTTGCCAATTTGCATGGATGATTTTATTTTGCATAATTCATTTTACATCTACAAGCCTTGAGAGTGGGACAGGAATCTTGCTGGTTATTTTTCCCTCTGGCTGTTGAAAATCTTTTTTAAACATCTTCTCTGAACTTACCAGTTTTGGAGATTTTGTGTTTGCCTCTTAAAGTATTTGATGAAAACATATATTTAAGCAAAGTTTTTTTTAAAGAAAAATCTTGGAAAGCTGGAGTCTGTGGCTAAATTCACATTCTGGTGATGGTGGTTATGTGGAATTATGGCGTGCTTATAATACATAACTAGGCAGTGTTAAATTGGAACCAATGTTTTGATCCAATGGGGTTGCAGGATGCCAGGATGGGTCTATATAGCAAATTGTAATGATGGTTTGTATTCTTCCCCTTCCAAAAATGTGCTCTCCACAGGGCAGCTATGTAAATGAGTCCCTATTGAATAGCTGCATGTCAAAATACTGTATATTTTTAGCAAGAATACAGCTCTACCTAATGTTTTTAATTCCATTGCCAAGTCTATTGTTAAATAAAGTCTTGCCCCCTTTGAGTTGAGTTTATCTCTGATAACTTCATGAACCGATCATGTAAAATTCTAGGCAGCAGTAAATTGTTTCTTCTGGAATGCTTTTCTGACTTCCCAGCCTAGTCTGCAGTCCTTGGATTTCTTGGCAATTTCTCACTGAATAACAATAAGCAATATAACCCTGCTTTTTGAAATCAGCCAAGGTTGACTGAGTGTTTACATAGGCATAAATAAATATGGTTTCTAGGGGATCTCTTGTCTCTCATGTTTGCAGAATGCTAGAGACATTAAATAAATGCTTTTATTGGAAAGGTTTCTTGGATCATTGATTCCTATGTCTAATCTTTGTGTTTTCTTGCAAGTTTTCATTGCCAGGAAAGGTAAACAATCTGGAATGCCCAAAATGCATTTTAAAATGCATATAAATGGAGATAGCTTTCAAACAGCCACATGAGCTTTGCAAAAAATGTGGGTGCTTTAATGATTCAAAGTTAGATATTTTATTTGTCTCCCCACATGTTGTAAGACACCTCTTTTGATTGCTTTGCCCAATAACATTTGCCCTAAAATTGTGTGATTTGGGTAATACGTAATCAAGAAATGTTAGATTCTTTCCAGATAGTTTTACTTATTTTGTTAAGTATTTTGATTTCAAAATAACAACTAATACAAATGAAACTTAAAACAAAAAGAATAGTATGAAATAATAAAAAGTGTAAGAAAAAAGAAAAAAATATGTTAAAGAAAAAGAAAAGAACTATATAAAGAAATGAATTCTAACCGTCATTACAAATATGGAGAAATTTAATAACTCTTCATCCCTTAAGGTTACAAAAAAATTTCATCCCGTATCTCCTTAGTTATAAGCAAATCCATAAAACATAAACTTTTCAATCTTGGTGTCATCATAAAGTCCATAAAGAGTTTTCAGAACGTACAGTAGATAAATGGCTTATTTTAATATTGACCAATAAGCTACTTTATACTCATTCCTTTAACTTTTAACAGTCTTAATCTTTAGTTCATTCAAATAGTGTCATAGAATTTATTTTTTCTTCCATTCTTTTTAATCTCATTGCATAAAATTCTTTGAGGGTTTAACCAAGTCATTTTCTTGGTTTGTCTTGCATTTCATGCTTAATCCATGCTCTTATACTCTTGACTGGAATCCAAATGTTCATGCTCTTTCTGTTAGACATCGATTGATGACAACTACATATATTGTGATATGGTTGCATAAGTGTACTGTACACTTGACTTTCAAATGTATATGAAAGTCTTAAAAAGAATAATATAGTGCTGGAAAGACAGATGCCAGTGAGTAGGGAATTGGGGTGTAAGTATGACTAGTAAGATCTAGTAGGAAAACAGTGACAGTAGGTTTGGGGAGTCATTGATATCTTCTTGTAAAAGGAATTATGATTTGAAAGAGATAGTGAGGTGATTTCTTAGAAAACACTCATATAACCTTAAAGAAGTAGATAGTTACATGCAGTTGTAAATATTGCTTCTTGGCCAAGTGAATAGAAAGATTAGGGGCTGACTAGTTATAGGTGTACCTGGAGAAAATTAATGATAAGATAAGATAACCTTTATTTTCTGTAATAACCTTATTTACTGGCACACATTTTAAAAAAATGAAAGTCTGATGCCCACTCTCAAAAGAAAATAAATACACATATTTATTTATGTACATCTATTTCAGTACAATACTGAAACAGTTTATTACTTCTACCAAGGAAGAATTGGAATATTTTTGCCCAACTAATACTTTTAGATTTCTCTTTGCCAGATGATATTCACCTTCATGTGTTTTGAGCTGGGAATTGTAAACACTTTTTGCATTTTTTTAATTTGATTCCTGCTTATAAAACTGTTACCAAAGAGATATCGTCTGGCTCCTTGACATTGAAATATGGCATCCCAAATTGTCTTCCCTTTTTTTAAAAAAAAAATAATAATACTAGAACCTGTCATCTAGGTAAGATGGATAAGACATCAACCATATCTTAACTACATTCAGTTCTTCCAGTTCGTTTGTGTGTAAATAAGATGTTGTGCTTGAGAGCATTGTGACCAAAATGTGTGTCAACAAACAAGCTGAATCCTGAAGAGGTGCTGGGTGGTAAAATTTTACACAACTTAGGCATTTGCTGTCTCACCTACTGACATTGGCAAAGGAGGTGACACTTAGAATCCCACCTAGGTAAATGCCATATCATTATGTCTAAGTCAGCGGTTCTCAACCTATGGGTCGCGACCCCATTTGGGGTCGATCGACCATTTCACGGGGGTCGCCAAGCAAGGCTGTCTGCCATTTTCTTTCCCTTTTTCTGGCAGGTGCCTTACCTCCCTTGAGCTGGGCCAGCTTGTGGTCGGCCTGCTCCGTCTCTGCTGCTTGCCAGCTACGCCTCGGCCGGCGCAGGGGGCGGAACCACGCATGCGCGGCGCTCCCGGGCAGGGAAAGTCCTCGACTTACGACCGGTTGGGTAGTCCTTGACTTACGACCGGTTTAGTCCTTGACTTACGACCGGTTTAGTCCTCGACTTACGACCAGTTGGGGGGCTCACGGCATTAAAAAGGTTGAGAACCACTGGTCTAAGTGAAAAGACAATAACATTTCTTCTTTTTCCTCCACCACTTCTTTAGTGTGTTTACCTGTCCAAAGCTTCACTGTTGTACTTAGTGTTCAATGACCCAGCAGTCATTGGATAGGACCTGTTTTGG